GACCTGTGCCAGTGAAAACCTTCTCCCCCTTACTCCTGTCTGGGATCTGTCCCTCCTAGATCAGGCAGCACCCTCCCATGGCATCGCCCCCACCCCGCCTGCTGCACTCACTGGAGCTGGTTGATGACGACCATGTGGATGTTCTCCCGGGCCTTTAGGATCTTTTCCAGCCGGTGGATGTCGTATGTGTTGGGGTTCCGGAAAGGGATATCATCAGGTAGGCCCGTGACCTCAACAGCATCTGGGCTGTCCCGGATCAGCTTGTAAGGGACCAGCACAGGTCGATTCAGGCCCAGGGCCTCACCTAGAAGGCACAGGGGGTCAGACTGAGGGCACACGACCCCTGTCAAAGGCAAAGCCCGCTAGGGAAAGGGCTGGAATCTGGCATGCCCCAGCTCAGCAGCTGTGACATACAGAGAGTTTTTTTTTTTTAAATTAAATCATAGCAGTATACATTAATACTATCATGGGGTACAGTGTACTGTTTCTATATACAATTTGAAATACTTTCATCCAACTGGTTAACATAGCCTTCATGTCTTTTTCTTAGTTACTGTGTTAAGACATTTATATTCTACATTTAGAGATTCACATGTACCCTTATAGGATGAACCATAGGCGTGATCCCACCAATCACTCTCCCCTCCCACCCTCCCTCCCCTCCCCTCCCTTTCCCCATATTACTGGGCTAAAATTGGGTTATAGCTTTCCTGTGAAAGCTATAAATTAGTTTCATGAGAGTTTTAACAATCAACACACACACCATGTAGGAATCAGGAACAAGGCAGCCGTGTCCCTGGGGAGCAGGCAGGCCAGCTAGGGGCAACTGGAGGCCAAGCTGGCTACAGAGGGAGGGGGTCACCCAGTAGGGCCAGCCCCACGCACTGACCGTATTTCTCATTGAAGAGCTCCTTCACCTGCTCCCGGAGGATCACCTTCTCCCCTAGTCTGTTGGCGTCATCTTCATCTATAAGAGGGGGACAAAGGCACAAGAGTCAGCATGGGTTCAGCCATCGATCCTGCTCCTTCTCTCAGGCAGCGGGAAGGGGCAGCCTGCACCCCTAGCATTGCTCTCCGGCCTCTGATGTCTGCCCATCCATCCTACATTTTCATATCAGTACCCCCAGCCACAGGCCTCACATCATAAGGAGGCAAAACTCCTCCCCGAGGGGCTCACAAGCCCACTGTCCCTTGGTCACAGCACGCACCCCTCCAGTGCCACAGGACATACACTCTCCTGCCCAGGCCCCCAGGAGAGTGGGATATTTAATGGGGCTCTGAAAAGCAGGCAGCAGTTTGTGACATGCAGCACAGGTGGGAAGACACCAGATGGAAGGACAGCTGTGCACCAGCATGGAAGGGTGAAATGCCTCATCTTGTGTGCTGGATGTGGCTGAACTTCCAGGTAGTACAGGGGAGGTGGCAGTGATGGGCCCATGTCGGGAGTCCACCCTGGCTGCTTGCAGGCTGAGGCCTGTGATGGGGAAGCAGACTGCGCCTGGGAGCAGGGGCACGGCCCTGTGTTCTCCTTGTCCAGTGCCCAGGCAGGGCCACCGCTGCTTCCCTTGAGTTCTCTATATCCTAGAGGGGTGGCTGAGGTCAGTTAGCTCTGGAGGCAGGGCCTGGGCTGGAGAAGGGTCCAGGGCAGAGCCTCAGAGGAACTCTCGGGCCTGTGCCAGGGTTGGGAGGGGGCTAGGGTGCTGGAAGCATGTGGCCACACTGCTGGGCCTGTGGAGGGGTGGGTGGGAGGAGCTGGTCACAGGCAGGGCAATGGGGGCAGAGCAAGTCTTTGGAACAAAACAACTCCTATTTTAATCTTGAAAACCTTAGGCGGGACTCACTTCCATTGAAGCCAGCTCAGAACTGCCCCTCCCAGTCAGGGGCTCTGTGCTGCTCAGACACAGCTCCCCACATCCTGTCCCACACCATCCTGAGGCTGGTCCTGCTCCCAGAGCTCCTTCCCTGGCCACCCAGGCATTCCCAATCCCCACAGGGCGCTGGTCTGGCCTACTGGTGCCCATGCTCTTGCCTCTGGAATCTGGGTCTACACATCTCCAAGTTGCTCCATCTCCCTCCAACTGAAGCTGGCCAGCCCCTGGGAGCCTTAGAGACACTACATGCCACACATTGTCCCCCTCCAGTGCTCTCTTGGGAAGAGATGCCCCAACTCAGCCGAGATCCCAAGCTCAGCATCCCCAGGACCCTTCTTCCCCCGTCTCAGCACGACCCTTCCACGTGGTCTTCAGGACACTGACGTGGCAAGAATAGAACTGACTCTACTTCAGATCCCACGCAGAAAACTGTGAGGGGGTCCTGGGCCTGAGGGCTAGGGCCTGGAGCCTGCAGGGAGGCAGCAGGCATTTTCCATCTGTCCCCTTGCCATGGAGGACTCCTCTGGTGGCAGGACCCTGAGCAGGCCCAGCAGCACATGCAGAGAACAGGAGAGCGCGGCCTGGACCGCAAGCTGGTGTGTGCAGATACTTTGCTGGCAGCTTTCTCAGACACGATCAGGGCTGCCTCTCACTGCAGCCAAGGACACAGAGGCTTGGAGAGGTTAAGAAATGTGCCCAAGGTCACATAACTGCCAGGATTACTCCGTCTGACCCCAAAACCCTGGTCCCCCCCTACTGTGTGCCCTGGGTTTCCTGAGGTCTCAGTTTCCCATCTGTAGAAAGAAGGGTGGGGGTGATCTTTAAGGTATTTCCTTCTACATCTCTTGCTCTCTCAGCCCATGATTCCACATTTCTGTCTTCTCCCTCTCCGATGCCAGGGGCAGGGCTGGATTCACCATCAGTGCCTGACAAAGCCTGCTGTCTAAAAGGAAGCGGGCAGGCCTCTCCAAGACACAGCCCAGTCAGCTCAGGTCACTATGGCTGTTGGACAGGGGTCCTCAAACTTTTTAAACAGGGGGCCAGTTCACCATCCCTCAGACCGTTGGAGGGCTGGACTGTGGGCCCCGGGACGAGTCGGCTGCTAAGCAGGACAGGCAGCGGTGGCAAAAACACCCAGCAGGCCGGATAAATGTCCTAGGCGGTCTGCATGTGGCCTGCAGGCTATAGTTTGAGGATGCCTGCTGTTGGACATGGAGTGGACAGGTGTGGCTGTCTCTGTGCACCAGGAGGGTCTGCAGAGCACATCCACTTGCCACCCCAACACTCCCACTGCCTGAGCGTGGCATGGATGGACAGATACCAACAGAGGACAGGCTGTCCTCTGCCTTGGAGAGGCAATGCCAGGCTGTGGTGGGGCACAGACCCCAGAATTAGAAACCTGGCTCATGTTATTCCCTGGATAAATATTTTTTAAGCCCATTTAGAAGCTGGGCGTGGTGGCTCATGCCTGTAATCCCAGCACTTGGGAGACCAAGGTGGGTGGATTGCCTAGCTCAGGAGTTCCAGACTAGTCTGAGCCAAAGTGAGACCTCATCTCTAAAAATAGCTGGGTGCTGTGGCAGGCACCTGTAGTCCCAGCTACTTGGGAGACTGAGGCAAGAGAATTACATAAGTCCAAGAGTTTGAGGTTGCTGTGAGCTACGACGCCATGGTACTCTACCAAGGGTGACAAAGTGAGATTCTGTCAAAAAAAAAAAAAAAAAAAAAAGGCCATTTGGACACTGTGCTGCCCCTTGAAGAGCACAGAAGATAGCACATAACTGTCCCGTACCCTGGGTGCCTGTAGCAGGGATCCAGGGCCCAAAGCTCCACGGATGCAGTTTCATCTGCACGTGAGGGCTTATCACTCTGACCCCCAAGGCGGCTGTGAGAGGTGAGCAAGACACACAACTCCCGGTAACCTGTGGGTGCTCAACACACACTAGCTGGTGAGGAAATGCCCTGTTCCTTCCAGGTCTCACCTGGTCTAGGGTAGAGCCCCCTCCAACCCAGCTAAGGAGGAGGAGTGGCACTATGGGGCAGCCAACAGGATACTAGCAGAACATGGGCCCCAGGCGGGGAGCCATGAACATCCTGGCAGGATGGAAGGCACCCTGAACACCCCTGGGGTGTGGTGGGGCAGAGGGGTGCTTGATACCTTTGTCAACAACAGGAACAAACACAGCATATATATCATGCAGACAGTGGGCTGGCCCCGGGGCTCAGGGAGGATGCCCAGCTTCCTCTCTCTGCTTTTAGCTCCTGCCACCTCTTTGTTTTTATTTCATTTAGAGGGAAGAGATTCCATTTTTTTAAAGGCTGAGTTTTTGAAGGAAATGGTGAGGTAGGTCTGGTGGGGGCTGAAGCGGCAAGGGCACCTGTCCTTCTGGGGACTCAGAGGAACCCGGGGCAATTCCCTGGGCTGAGTTGGCAAAGTGGGGCACCTGCTCTTTGGGAGGGAGCCGGGGCCACAGGTGAGGAGCCCCCCACCCCCCGCCTGCTATGGGCTGGGACCTGCCAGTGGATCCGCATCTGTGCCCCAGACCCACTCACCCCACCCCGCTAAGGGGAAAAGGCAATGTATCAACCTGAACAGACATTTGTGCCTGGCTCTGCAGGCCACAGGCCAGTGCCTTCTCCCGGACATTAATCATGGCCACTGTCTCTGACTGAAGAACCTTGCCTCTCCCACTCTGATCAGCGCCAAGTGGGAAAGCTGAGATCCTCAGATGGCCCAGCTGGGTGGACCTCTTCACAGGCAGCAGATGGATCACCAGACCCCCTTCTTGAGAGAACCAGGGCCCTGCCTGCTCTGCCACACACCCACCATTTGGATTGTGGTGGCCCATCTCTGTGGAGTTCCCCAAGGATTGCTGTGGGCAGCAGTGGCCTTGACCTCAGCTGGAATAGAGCCACTCTGGCAAGTCCTGTCACCTTCAGGTCTAGTCTGGTCACAGGCCACACAAGAATCGGGGAAGCCACCCAGACAGCTGGTGAGAACACCAGGGGATGGGTACAAGAACCAGGGGCCTGCAGGGCCATGGTCACAGCTCTGTGGTCTTCCTGAGATTCCTTGACTACTCAGATTCAAATCCTGGCTCTGCTATCAGCTTGTGACCTGGGGTAATCCCTTCACCACTCAATGCTCTCATCTGTAAAATAGTAGTGACAACAGGAAAAGTCCACAGACAGAGCGAGCACATGAGTGCCAGTGCCTGGTTCACTTAAAAGGTTATTAATATTCTGAATGCCAAGTCAGTAAACCTATTCTGGGGTGGGCCTACCTTAGCTCCCCTGAGCTGGGCTGGTTGTAAAGGACACTAATGTTATAAACATTTCAGAGTGTCTCCATTTGGAAATGTCAGGACTCAATATGGGGTGGATGGATGTCCTAAATGTACCTGCTAGAATGCCTGTATACAATGGGCAGGAAGGTGGTCCAGTGACAGGGCAAGTCCCTGGCTCCGTAGACAGCAAGACAATCATGATTGTAACTGTAACACTGTGTGGTGTTGGGAAAGCTGCTCAACCTCTTTGAGCCTCAGTTTCCACATAACCTTAAATGGAAATCTTGGCCTGTTGGAGGACCTAACATCACTTATAAAAAAGTACTATAGTTAGGTGCATTGGCTCATGCCTGTAACCCTAGCACTCTAGGAGGCTGAAGCAGGTGGACTGCCTGAGCTCATGTGTTCGAGACCAGTCTGAGCAAGAGTGAGACCCCATCTCTAAAAAATAGTCAGGGCTGTGATGGGCACCTGTAGTCCTAGCTATTTGGGAGGCTAAGGCAAGAGAATCGCTTGAGCCCAATAGTTTGAGGTTGCTGTGAGCTATGATGCCATGTCATTATACTAGGGTAACAAAGTGAGAATCTGTCTCAAAAAAAAAAAAAAAAAAAAGTACTGGTTTGGCACTCCTAGCACAGTGGTTATGACTCCAGCCACATACACCAAAGTTGGTGGGTTCAAAACCAGCCCAGGCCAGCTAAGACAGTGACAACTGAACAAAAAATAGCTGGGTGTTGTTGTGGGCACCTAGCTAGTCCTAGCTACTTGGGAGGCTGAGGCAAGAGAATCACTTCAGCCCAAGAGTAGGA